GCATCTGCAAAGATTTTTGACATGTAATGTAAGAGATCCGCAGTTTCTGGAGATTGGGTTTTAGGGGAGTGGAAGAGGCTGTCTTTTGTCTCCCACACATATTAGTTCCTGTGCACCTAATCGCTTTTATCCATCATTAGAAAGTCAGGGATCAAGCCAGGATGCCAAGAATACAAAGAGCACTGAGAGTTCAGGACATGATTTAGTTTTAGGAGCAGCTGGAGACAGGCATAAATTAAGAGGGAAATTAGACAGATTATTTATTTGCTTAAGCAAGATTAATTATTTAGCTGATATGGTCTGAAAACTAACCCACCACATCAGCTTATCTTCACCTTCACTGATGCCTAGAGTAGACTGTGAATAACCATAAAATACATCAAGGGTGGAGAAACAGGAATATACTAGATTGTGTCTCTAAGGATCACAACTTACAAGTGAAATGGAAATGTAGAACCAAAGTGGTTGATTCACTTGATTTTTGGTTTTTGCTTTGCCTTGCTTTTTGTTTTTATTTTTGTTTTGTTTTGTTTTGTTTGAGACAGAGTCTACCTGTATCCCCAGCTGACCTGGAACTCTCTATGTAGACCAGGCTGCCCTCCATCTCACAGAGATCTGCTTACCTCTGCTTCTTGAATGCTAGGATTTAAGGCATGTGCCACTACACCTGGCTGATACATTTGCATTACTTACAATTGTTTCTCAAACTGGAAGAGAGATGAACTAAAGGAGGTGGGGGTTGACATCACACAGTCTAACTCCGAGAACATGTGACAGTTTGATTAAGGTAGGAAGAGAAATTTACTATTTTTCTCCAACACTTTTATCGAATCTACTTCATCATATATATCCTACTGAAGCCATATTAATTTTATATTAAATAACATTTGTCAATGCTAAATCCAGCTGCAGTTTTTGTTTTTATCATTTTTATTGACACCATTTACCATTCAAAGATGGAAGTGATAATACAAATGTGGAAAAATAAATCAAAGTGAAGGCCAACAGGTAAATGCACCTGCTACTGACCATAATGACCTGAGTTCAGTCCCCAGAGCCCACATGGCGCGTGTGTACATGCACACACATACACACACACAAACACACACAAATATATAATGTAAAAACTTTAGAAAACTAAAGTGGCTAATTCATTAAATCAACCTGATAATCTGCCAATCATATTCCCAGCCTTATCTAGGTATCACAACAAAAATCACCTCTCAAAGAAAGGAAATAAAGGAAAGATTAGTGAAACATAATGGATTTGCTTAACCTCAGAAAATGGCATCTTAATTCTGTTCAGCTCACGTTAGAAACAGAGATTTGAAGACATCTAAAAATTGAAGTCAAAATGTCCTGGTGTTTGAGAGAAAAAAGTATGAGACAGGAGATTTCTGAGACCACTCAGACTTTGGCTTATACACTGAGTGCATAGATATTAGGTATTCAACTCTTTTCCATTTTGTTGCTGAAATGTCTATTAAATGACTCTGGAAAAATTACTTTAGAAAATATATATCTGCCCAAAACTTGACTCATGAAAGATCTAATGAGACCCCAGGTTCCTGCTACTAACTCTCTGGATAGTCCGCAGGTACCAGCATTCATATAACTATCAGCCTTTAAGTAATAACTCTTCCCACTTGAGAGTCTTCATGGGTGAACTTTCAAAATCATAGCTACTTATAACTGGGATTTTAAATTCTGAAGAATGAAAATCCTATCTCTTCCATTAATTCATTTATTAAGATATAAATATCCAGAATAACCGTCAGTCACATTATACTTTTAATTCTAAGACACAAAACAGTGGCCAGTAATCACATTTTTACCAGTAGCCATTTCTTTAATAATAGGTTTAGTTTTATATAAGAAAAAAGATGAGAGGTGGTATTGACTAGCTATTTAAAATGTCCTATCAGGTTGCTAAATTTTAATGATTTGTTTCCATAATAGGCTGCATACCACTTAATTCCAAATGTCAAGCCATTTTAAAGTTGGAGTTTTACTTATCAGATGAAAAGAAGAAGAAACCACAGCTCAGACCACCTCCTAGCCCCTTCAAAATCCATCAATATTTAGCCAATTGGAGCCCTGAATATTCATTTCTATGTGAGGAATGGCTAGTTAAAATCACCCCAGCCTTCTGTATTACATACAGAGTTCTCTTGTCTGCTTACATGAATGGTTGCTATCATTACATCAGCCTCCAGTAACTTCAATACATGAATGGCTAGCTTACGGTCCAAGAGTGGATGGGCTTTTCTGTCCCTTTCAGAGGCATCTGCCAACCAACAGGAACAGGGAGACAAAGCTATCTTTAAGTATTCTGCCCCAAGCAATGAATAAGCAATGCCTAAAAAGCAGCTCCAGATGAGACTGTGTGAACATGAAGGATAGCCATAGGCTTCTGAAAACCTCCTTCCAGTATGAGAGAAAGCTCTTTTCCTATGTAGGAATGAAAGTAAATTCAGCTGAAAGCAGATCTGTGTCTACTTGACTTTGAAGGAGAGGCCTAATAGAAGGGAAGGGTGGAAACAAGTCTAGAAGATACAGGAGCACAATCGCGCCTGTGTTTGTGAACAGCCTCGCTTACTTAAAGGGAGGAGAGAATAGCTTGATAGTGAGGAGACAATTACATAAACTCTACTTTTGTGCTAAGCATTCTTTTCTTTCTTTTATTCAACTTTTAATGTTATTCCACTATTAAAATAACTTTATCTCATTGGAGATTAAGTAGATGAATAGAAGTATGGAAGTATGAAAAATAAAAAGGATATCTATAATTCTAGTGAA